TAACTCGTTCCATTTTAACTGACAAATTATCAGACCATAGAGACAGTACAGAAAGTAAGATGCTTGTCTTGCATGCAGCTGGCAAGACTGATATCCTGGTCTGAATGCCTGGTACCACATATCCTGAGTTACCACCTTGAGTAGCACCAGGCGCCCTTAATAATGGGCCAGAAATATCCCCACATCACACTGATGAGTATGGCCTTCTTCCCATATTGTACTTCTTCTTCCTAGCATCACTCTCCTTGGCCAAGTTAATTTTGATAAATTATTTAAGTTGTCCAACAAAAAGAAATGATAAAATCTACATGAGAAAAAAATGGGGTAGGGGGAGATTAAAGTTCATGTACAATCTATACAGTGTGTCCTTGAATATAAAATTCCTGCAAATAGCAGGATTTTCTCTACAATCAGGGTCAATGGTAAATAGATAGATAGATGGATAGATAGATAGATAGATAGATAGATAGATAGATAGATAGGTATCTGTATATACATGTACATATACTATATATACACATATATTTGTGCATATGTAATTCAGTATTGACTAATTCTATCATCCAAAGACTCTTTATAGGTTATTTATTATATGCAGTGCAAGGTATTAAGAAAACAGTTTGAAATCATTGAAATAAAAATAGAAATGTGTACATTTCATAAAAGTCATTCTCTTTGGTTCAACATCTATTGCTGGCTTAGTGCTTGGGGGTCACTGGAGGCCCTGGGGGGACCATGTGGTACTAGGGACTGAGCTTGGGCTCAGTCTGTTGAGCTATCTCTCGAGACCATAGAGAGAGGTTCATTTTTTGTTTGCTTGTTTTGTTTTGGAGCCACACCTGGTGGTGCTCAGAGTTACCCCTGACCCTGTGCTCAGGGATCACTCCTGGCAGTGCTCAAGGATCATGCAATGTGTCAGGAACTGAACATCGATTGACTGCATGAGAGGCAAGAACCCTATCTGATGTACTCTCTGACATCTGAGAGCCATTTTTCAGATATCCAACTGTGAATTAGGAGAAAGTCCCATTTGGGGAAATGCTCTTAGATATGCTCTGATGAACTCCTACATTATGATTTCAATGGTTATTTCATTGTTTTCTGAAAGCTTTAACTGAAAAATGGAGAAAATTTTTAAAAAATTTCAATACCTTCTGGTAAATAAAATTGTGTAGATAAATTAATCAATGATTTCCAGTGTCTCCATGAAATGGAAAGTGGTCTAGTTTCTGTTAATACTTTCCTATTTGAATCTAGGATGCAATGATGACAGTTCCAAAATTTCATTTTAAATGTTTTTGTTTATACTTAAAAGGTAAAGGTAAAGGTAAAGGCCCTCCTGTTGATCATCGATTTGCTCGAGCGGGCCCAGTAACGTCTCCACTGGAGACTTTGTTGTTACTGTGTTTGGCATATCGAATACTTCACGGGGAGCTTGCCAGGCTCTGCCGTGCGGGCGAGATACTCTCGGTAGCTTGTCAGGCTCTCCGAGAGGGGCAGAGGAATCGAACTCGGGTCAGCCATGTTGGCTGCGTGCAAGGCAAACGCCCTACTGCTGTGCTATCACTCCAGCCCTGTTTATACTTAGTGAAAGAATTAATCATTAGCTATTGTATATTTGCTTCCTATTTTTATAAAACAGTAACTTAAAAGTTACCCATTCAAAAAAAATGTCATCCATTCATTCAATCCCAAATACTAGAGCTTTATCTGTTGCGTTACCAACTAAATGAGCTTTATCTGTGGAGATTGAACTTGGTATCTGGTCTCTTTCAGTTTACATTCCAGGTTACAAACAGGAAATGTTACTATTGTGTGATTAGACTATTGCTGGAGAAAGACTGCATTCTGAAAACATAAGAAATACCAACTGCTCTGAGTCAGATAAACTGGAGACTGGAGAAAGTCTTCCTGGGAGAAGTAATTCCACCAGTCAGATGAATAAGATTTCTCTGTCTGAAAACAAGAAGAAAGCGTGTTCCAGATAACCAGAAGAAGAGGATCAAACGCTAAGAGAAAGATAAATAGAAAGTTCTACTAAGATGTTCTCTTTGGGGTGCCACAGAGACAGATCAGCAGTGTGAGTTTATGCTTTGCAGGTTGCTAGCTCTGGTTGAATACCAGTCACCTCACTGTGCCCTGACCACCCTGGGGCATTACCCCAGGAGAGGGCTAAGAGTAGCCCTTGAGGTCTACCAGATGTGGTGTTCAAGACAAAACAGAACAAAAAACCAAAAGAGATGTTCTATTTGACTGCCTTCAGAGGGAAAGAAAGAGGAAGGAAGGATGAACAGGGATATAAGCAACTTTTAAGTTCTTCTTGACACTTTTCAAAGAGCAATAGGGAGTAGAGACAGAGTTTTAACAAGAAATTGATGCTCTGAGACATATTTGCCTTTCAGTAACATCATTAGAATGCAGATGACACTGGAGGAGTCATGAAGACAGGCAGGGAAACCTCCTAATGTACAAAATCTATGGCAGATTCCACCAATAAAGTAATGGGGAAATGAAGAAGAGTGGCAGAATTCTCAAATTTTAGAAAGGATTTCATAATGGATTAAAATCAGGGGTGTCAAAGAGAAAGAAAACTCTTAATGGGGCATAATTTACTTCGCTCTTTTATTTGAGGGTTGAAATCTACCTTAAGGAATATTTTATTAATTTATGCATTAATAATGCCCCTCCTTTTTTTACATAAGCTAAGATTCTAAAGCAATGTATGAACATCAGTTTCATTATTTTCTAGTCACTGATATGGAAAAATATATATTTATTTAATTTCTATCTAATTACCCTGTTCATAACAAATATCTACTTCAAAATAAAGTGGCACTTAAATACATTCAATTTGCTAGCAATATGTAATCTCAATTGTAGGAAAAATAAATTAGATTAAAATGCACACTATTAATAAAAACTTTACAGTATTCTAATCTCCAGTATTTTTTAATTATCCACATGCAAAAGAAACATAAAATTAAACTGTCCATAATTGAAGTTTATATTAACCAAAGCAGCCTACTGAGTTTCAGGGGGAAGGGGCTTCAAACCACTTAATATAATGTTGTCTAATGAAAATAAAGACAACACAGTGCTGAAGAAAGAGTACAAGGGGTGTTAGTTGACTAGCAATGCAGCAGACCCCACCCAACTCCTGGCATGACAAATGTTCCCCCAACACTCACCAGTCCCTTAAAAGACAATATAAGACACTAAAGAAAACCACAAATTCCAGTCATGTATATATGTCAAATTTTCTAACTGCCATGATAAAAAAACAATAGTGAAACTAGATGAATTCAATGTAATGATCTATTTTTTATATATTCAATGTGCAAAATAGCTCAACTTGCACTCAGTATCAAATACTAATGAGTTATTTGACTTGGGCAGTACTATCTTTGAACTGGTCGGATATAGCACAACACATTTGAATTCTTGAATACAACGTGTGGCTAGTGGCAATCTCCTTGGACAGCATTACTCTCTAGAGTTTCTTTCGTGACTTATTTTGCCTTTAATTTCCATGAAATAGCACTGCATTTAATAGTTCTTCAAAGGTTAGAATATTATAGAGTTTTCACCAATATTGTAGTTTTTTTAAAAAATAATCTATTGCACAAAGAGGCCATTCTCTAACAGATAATCCAAAGAGGAAAGGTTAAAATAAAAATAGCCAAACCATTTGAAGAAGTCCTTTGTCATGCAGATGTGGCCAATGTGAAAGTTAAAATTAATACAGAGGAACTTTCAATTGCAATTTTGCTGGGAACGTGACAAAACTCAAAAGAGAGCACCAAAAAAAAAAAAATGAAATACACAGTTAGGGAATCTGAAAGCACAAAATGTTTTTAAATATCAAGCCTGAATTCATTTTAAGTAAGTCATTTAAATTCAACTTGCTCAAGTTGAATTTAAATATCTCCCGGCAGCTACCTCATTTGGAAGTGGCAGCTTTTTTTGACACCAGTAGTTTGGTAAATTGCAAACTGGTTTCCATCTTGATTTAACGCTGTTTTAAGTTTATATGAAAAATGTCACTATGTAAACAACAGACATTTTGATTAAACACTAAAGCTCTTATTTTGGCTGTTGAATCAATAATGCAGCTGGATTGGGAGTAGTTTACATTCTCTCCAGACTGGGCTTGGGTTCAGCTACTATTGCACTGACATCATTTTCCAGCAAGATCTGGCTGCTTTCAGCATTCAGTTTAGAAATAACCTTTACAAACAACCACATAATTTTCAAAGTTAGCACGTCTCCAGAGGAGGGTCTCACAAATGCCAGTGCTTAAAATAGGACAGTCAATCCAAAAATAGTGTCTCATTTGATGTGTAATTTACTAGGAAATTTTTTTCAGGTAATTTAAACTAGAAGACAAAGGGCTTTAGGGTTCCAATTTATCTCTTTTACTTCACCTGTGATGACTTTGGAGCGTTTCCTACTTTGGTTTCTATAGTAGTTTAACTGATGCGCAACTCAGGGCAAAGGTTCTCAAATTTGATTAGTAGACAGAGCATGTGTGTAAGTCATGGTGTTTTGTCCTAAAGAGAGCTCCTGCTTAACCTTCATAGTTATGGAAGTGATATTAATTATCACTTCAAACTAGGAATCCCTTACACACAAAATACAACATCATATTACATAAAACTGCAGCTTATTGGCACTTATACCTATTAAGAAATAGGCAGGTGAACAAAAAGCTAGAGCATTCATTTATAACTTATTCAGTGTTAGTAAACAAAAGTTAAAGAAAACATGTGATGCAGAAATGCTAAAATGTTTTCAAGACCAGCTAATAATTATTATTTTATGCAACTCTTTGATTACATTTTAGTTGCACGAAACATCTCTCTGGGTGGACATATGCATAAAGATACATAAAGAATAAATGCATAAAGAATATGTTTATCCAATCAATGTTTATTGGATAAACATATGCATAAAGAATCAGGACCTTCAAACTTTTGACTCTAGGACCTCAAGGTGCTTACCTGGAGAAATTCTCTGACGTTAGATCCCAGAACACGCAAGATTGTATCATAACCGGACTCTTGACAAAAGACAAAAAACATCTTGCCAAACATTTGAAGGATTTCTCCAGCATTGAGATCTATTTTTATAGGTTTGAGGGAACAACAGAGGTGGAAAAAGAAACATATTATAGGGAGAAAATGGTTAACGTAAAGAACGAAGATAAATCCATAATAAAAGTACACTTTACAAATTCCGAACTGGTGTGCAGAATGAATATGGAGCAGAGGAAAAACTTTTGACCATCATCAGAGGTTAAAATATGAGAAGACAAATCAACAATCACAAGCAGAACAATCAGCTTCTCAGTTTCCATGGCAAACTACTTAATGAATTCTGAGCTTCTTAAGCATATATTCAATACAGTAATTACTTTTTCTAAAAATCACATAACCATTATGGGGCTAGAGAGATGACACATAGGCTAAGGTGTGTGTATTGCATATCGTGGACCCCAGTTCGATCCCTTGGACCATATGGTCTCCCCAGTATCTCCAATGCATCCCTGGAGAACCTCAAGCACTGCTGGGATAACCTGGATAATCACCAGGATAATCCTCAGGCTTCCCACTGAAGAAGGGAGGTTGGCAAAAGAATGCCAGGAGGGGGCCCCAAATTTCCTAGTCACTGCTTGGGAATACTGTAAACAATAAAGAGCTTAAAACCCTGAAATCAAGAATTCAAAATAGTTTTCTTTATACAAACATATGCATTTAACAAGATGGTTGCATATCATATATCCTCTCCTTCCTACCTAATGTTCCATTATTTATAGTTTCTGTTTGATTTTTTATTAGAACATCAAATGTGACCACTATTTTTTTCAACATAGGAATTCAACAATGAATTGAACCAATTTTCTCTTCTTAAAAATGCCTTTTCCCCAACTGTTTAAAAAATAATTAAACTATGGAATAAAAAGATATTAAAGTGTAAGTGCATTACACTTTATAATTATGTTATGACGCCAGAGCCATAGTACAGAGCTTGCCTTGCACACAGCTAACAGGTGTTAAATTCCCCCAACACCCTATGTGGTCCCCTGAGCCCACCAAGAGTAAACCGTGACTGAGCACCACTGGGTATGACTTCAAAACAAACTAATAAAAATCACCACCAACAAATTCCGTTCCGAAAAATAATTTTTAAAGGTACAAGCATCTTTAAAAAGATTTTGACACCTAATGCAAAATCATTCTCTAAAAAAAGTGTGATCCTGCTTTATCAAAACATAAAAATGTAGGACTGGAGGGATAGCCCCATGGGCTGAGCAAATGCTTTGCACACAGGAGGCCTGGGGTCAATCCCTGGCACTGCATGGCTTGGCAAGATTCTCCAGAAGCAACTCCTGGACTTGGAGCAAGGAGTCCCTAAACACTATATGGTATGGCCCACAAACAAACAAAACACTGCAGATTACTTCACTTTGTTATAACTCTACCTTTGACTATACTAGGTCATTTTAATTGCCAAACAAATTTAAGGTTATCTTACATTGCTTCCATTTTGATAATGAGGTTGGATAATTTTAATATTATTGTTAATAACTCTACCATGCTTTCAAAACTGTTTTGCCTATTCTTCCAGCAAGTAGTATCCACTCTTCTAGTTCTATTTGGATACAAGTTGGGAAGCCACATTCTATTATGCTCAAACTGTTGCCTGCTTACAAATCAAATTAAGAGGAAAAACAAATATTATTTTGAGGCCAAGTTTGCCTCTATGAAACTTAAAAAAATACTTTTTACCATTTCATAAGTTTTGTACGATGCAGATCTCAGTTTCCTATTTATTTTCCAAAACTTAATAAAATGCATGATTGCAAAAGAAAATTGGCATAATGTCCTCTACTAATCCACTTGTGCAATTACCAGTTGCTGACACTGTAACATTAAGTTATTAGTGCATTATTAGTTTATTACATTATCTTTTTATTCACTTATATAGAACATGATATTCACTTATGGGGCAGTGTAGCATGCTCATCCATTTTACAACTAGTTTTTGAAAGGGAAAATAAACATAACATGGCTTGAACCCTGAACTATATGTTATCCTATCAGGATTGTGCAGTGTACAACCTGCACAGCTATACAATGCAACCTTGGAAAAAGTATTCCTTTAGACTTCTATGTGTAATTAAGCCAAAGAACGGAAACCACACCAACTTACTGAGGACTTTGCTTGCAGCAGCAACCAAATCATAAGTTTTAGAGTCATCATATATTATTCTGACAAGAAACTGTCCTTCTTCATCTAACTGTGCCTCTTTTCTGGAAAAACAAACAACAAAAGAAAAACACAAAGATGAGGTGGATGATAGAAGAATAGATACTAGAGCTACAATTGATTATTTGTTTGGAGAAAATTATGGAGGAAAAAAAGGTAAATCTGTTTAACAATTTACCTAAAAGTCCAGTGATTAAGAAATTATTTCATACCCCCAGCAAAATGACATATTTAAATATAGCTTAGTAAGAGTAACATTTATGTAGTACTTTAACACCCCATCCAATAACTGACATGAAATATAGTAAAAAAATAAACTTTTGGTTTGATAGTCAGCAAATATTTGTTGAGTCCCCAATTGTACTAGGCGTTATTCCAGGCACACATTATTCCAGGCTGTAGAAAAATAAACAAAAGTGTCTGACCACTTGGATCCTCTGTACTCTAAGAAAAAGAGACAGATGAGGCATAAAACTAAGAACATATTTAATGGTAAGTGCTATGGTGAAAAATGATGCCAGGCAGTGGGTAGGAAGCTCGATCCCAGTAACTGGGAAGCCTCACTGAGAATCTGGCAGGTGAGTGAAGTCTGAAGGATCCCTGGGAGTGAGCCACGCGCAGTCTGAGACCTGTGTTCTACGCAGCAGGAAGAGCACATGACAAGGGCAGGATGGAAACTTGACAAGGGTGTGGGAAGAGCAGCACAGGCCGGTGGGGCTGGAACAGAGGCAGCCGCTGTGTTGCTTGAAGTGAAAGGAGGTCAGACCCTGAATGAGCATGGATATCTCGTCTTATTATTGAGGAGATGGTCCTTGCATTTGTGATGTGGGCAGTGAGAAATTTGACTTTGATCATTGTTGCTTTGCAAATGGGAAATACCAGATCCAAATCCAGAAATATTCTGAAGTTGAATAGCGAATACCACGTGGTTTGCTAATGGACTACAAGCAGGATGTCAGAGAAGGAAAAAACACAAAGAAAACTGGAAAGACGATGTCACCAATAGCTACAAAGACTGTTGAGCTGTGGCAAAGACTATTGAACTGTGACTAAGATCAAGAATTGTTTTAAATACATCAAGTTTGGGTTGCAAAGGAAATTGATACCATTTTCAAATATATTCTTAGCTTACTATATGCATGAACTCAAAATATATTACTAATGAGAGAAAATGTTTTAATAGTTGTCAAAAGTATGTAGGTATGTATTTTTTAATTGGATTTGGGCTCTTTTTCTTCATCAATTGTCCAGAATGAGGAAATGTATTGGCCAAAACATTGCAAGCTGTGGAAGACAACCAATAAATTCCCAGATTTCTTTCCCAATGTCAAAACCACAAAAATACATGGAGCTGAAAATCTGTGACTCCGTACAAATTATCTAAATCCTTGTAGACATCTCAGAGAAGAGTAGAAAATATTCTTGTCTACTAATAAGAGTAGGTCTAATAATTAGGTGGGGCTTCAACACAGTGACTCAAGTAGTCCTTTAATGCTTGAGAACCTCTTTAAATGCTATTGGAAAGAGTTCAGGCCAGCCCCAATCACTTTTTACCCCAGGGAATTTTGCTGCCAGAGTCATTCAAAGGAAAATGTCTATAGAGAAGCATGTCATAGGTCCAGGTAAGGTGGAAACATTTAGACACCCTATGTTCTTCAGTACATACCATACATTTGCCTACAGTCAGAGAGAACAATGCTTGTGAAAACAAACCAAAAATAGAAAGGATGGTTTGGGTAGGCATAGAAATCCAAATTTCAGAATTCAGAAATTACAAGTGAATGAACTTGGACAAGTAACACAAAATGTATCAGCACTCAACCTCCTCTTTTACAAACCAGTGTAATGATCTTCTGAAACTACAGAAATAAAGTAAGCAAAAATGATGTTCTAATTTTGAATACATAATTTTGTATGTCACTAATATATATCATGCTTCACATGTCTACATATTCCAAAAATTATAGAGCAACATAGAAGATGTGAAATTGTCTTTGGTAAAATTTACACAACAGAACAGAACACAATCTTCAAAACCTCCATTTGTAAAATAGGCAAAGTAGGCAATATATGAAAAATTCATGAAAACATACAAACTCTGACCTACCTTTTAATAACTGTTTTTAATACTTTATACACCTGGACTTCTAATTGTTAAAAATGTGGAGTACAGTAAACATAAAAACCAAAAAGAACTTTTCCCAGAACGCTGAGCAGCCAGATAAACAGTCAGTACTATATTCAAGTAGCTCATGATTGAAAATACTTATGTATACTTGTATATATATACGTGTGTGTACATATGTATATATAACACACTTGATTATTCTGCTTTAAAAACATGTTTTGAATTAATATTTCATGTCATTATTAACATTATGTCAAGTTTTTAATACCATAACAAGAATAAACAATGTTGCAATCAATATCTTTATAGATAATCATTAAATTTCTATGCAAACATAAAACAAATTCCTAGAAATGAAATTTCTGGTTTGAAGGATAAGAACAGCCTAATTGTCAGTGACACCATATCATGAAGTAGTATTGGTTTACAGACTGGAATTTTCAAGTCTCTGATTTAGAACATTTCACAAATATATTCATAAATTAAAGTCTCTCTCTCTCTATATATACACATTTATATGTGTGAATAAATTAACACCTCTAATTTCTTCTCCAAATGTAATTAATCTGATGGTATAAATTCCACAATAAACACAATTTTTAGAAAATTCTATCAATCATAACACCTATATGAGTGAGGTAAAAATATAGAATCCTTCAGCATAAATCGGAGGAACAAACATTCCCTTAGAAATCCCCTGTGATTCAATGCCCCATTTGTTTTATTAAAATCAGTCCTTTATCTTTGAAGCTTAACGTCCTAAAATTATCACTACAATTTACTCCTAAGAGGAAGGCTGAAATATAAAATAAGCAGTAGTACATGGAAGAGAATTATATCTCCCCCAAATTTTCACAAATTCTCATAACTTATCCAAAATGCCCAGGGTTCCTGAGTTTCCTTTATTTAAGAATATTTGGGAACACATGGGGGTGTCCATGAATTATTCTAACCTTCAAACCTCCAAAAAGCTTTTCCGTAAATGCTTTAGCAACTATTATACTCCAGAGACTTTTACTATATCTACGAATAACATAGAGAAGCTTGCCCTTATAGAATTTGCCCTTTTGTTGGCAGAAACAAGAAATAAGAAATAAACATAAAGCATAATCAAATATCTTTATGAAGGAATGAATACCACGAGAGAAAGTGGATATATGTTGGGAGAAGGGAGTAAAAGTTACATGAAAGGAACAGTTGTAATACTGAGTCTGGTTGAATCACCAGATCCAACAATTTCTAACATCTAAGCTGAGATTTTTAACATCTGAGCTGGAGAAATTAACATCTAAGCTGACTTCAAAAGGATAGTTTGTCTTTCTTAACTATACTTTCTGGACCCACTTCCCTTTTTTCTGGTACTTTATTCTTCACTTGACAAGGAAAGGCTCATTGGTGATATCACAGATAATTTGGTGTGAATTGGAAAACAGATCAAACTGAGCACAAGACTGGAATGCAAAATGAGTATTGTACAAGAAAACTAGTTTCAATGTGGTCATGGTAGCAAGTAGCACTGTAGCACTGTCCTCCCATTCATTATTCATGGATTTGCTTGAGCGGGCACCAGTAATATTTCCATTATGAGACTTGCTGTTGCTGTTTTTGGCATATTAAATACGCCAAGGGGAGTTTGCCAGGCTCTTCTGTGAGGATGAGATATTCTCGGTTGTTTGCCGAACTCTCCTAGAGGAATCGAACCCGGGTCGGCCACGTGCAAGGTAAATGCCCTACCTGCTGTGCTACTGCTCCAGCCCATGGTAGCAAGTAGACCTTAAAAACCAAATCAAGCATGAGGGGGTTGCGGGGGGGGGGGAGAGAGAGAGAGGGGGGGGGGGGAGAGAGAGAGAGAGAGAGAAGAAAAGTGCCTGTTATTGAAGCAGGCTGGGAGGCAGCGGGGGAGGGTTGGGGTTGGTGGGAGGGAAAGTGGAGACATTGGTCATAAGAAATGTAGACTGATGGAAGGATGGGTGTTGGAACATTGTATAACTGAAACCCAATCATGATTAGCTTTGTAATGATCTGTCTCACAGTGATTTAATTGAAAACAAACAAAATGACAAACAAAAAAGAAAATCAAGTATTGTCAGTCTTCTCCAGTTCACAACATTATTTTGCATCTAATTTCTAGGCCAAATAGAATTGGTTCAGACATTATACTGGCCCAAGTTTTTAGCATAGAGATACAACGATAATCTTCAAGATAGATCTATCAGCCACCACACATAGAGGGAAGCTGTAATTATCTCCCACAAGATGTAACACTCTACTTTCAGTGTATTACTTCTGCAGATGCCTTCTTCACCAGCTACCTAAAGTCACCAAAGGTGACCAGCAAACATAAGGAAAGCTGAAATATAACTGTACTCAGATGGCCTAACAATTAAGCAATTCAGGTTATAGTTCCATAATTCTCCACCCTATGTCACCCTAGAAACTTTCTCTTTAAAAGTAGAGGCTGAATTACATACACAGATCTAACATTTCTAAAGATATTTGAATAATAAAGTAACAAAATAGTAGACTATCACCCAACAATAGCCGAGATAAGTACCAGGAGGTTTACTTCATAGCTTGGAAGTCAGCTGCACATGCTAGGAGAAAAGGCAGCTCAGATAGAGAAGGGAACACCAAATAAAGGGTGTTGGGAGGATTCTTCCAGGATGGGAGATGCATGCTGAAAGTAGACTATAGACCAACATGATTGCCTCTCAATGCCTCTTTTGCAAACCACAGCACCCAAAAGGAGAGAGAACAAAAGGGAATGCCCTGCCACAGAGGCAGGATGGGATGGGAGGAATGGGGGGTGGGAGGGATACTGGGATCAGTCACTGTCACTGTCTTCCCGTTGTTCATCGATTTGCTCGAGTGGGCCCAGTAACATCTCCATTGGAGACTTTGTTGTTACTGTGTTTG